CCTTAACCCCCCCCGGGAGGGGCCATCCACAGCCTCTCTGGGCAATCTCCAGAGTCTCACCACCCTGGTAATGAAGAACTCCCCAAGATCCAGTCACAACCTGCTCTCCTGCAGGTTAAACCATCTCCCCTTGTCCTGTCACTGGACACTCTTGTGACAAGTCCCTCTCCAGCCTTCCTGGAGGTTCCCTTCAGGTATTTGAGGCAGTTCAAAGGTTCCCCCAGAATCTTCTCCCCTCCAGGCTGATCAACCCCAGTGCCCTCAGCCTGTCCTCAGAGCAGAGATGCTCCAGCTCCTGGATCACCTTTCTGGCCTCCTCTGGACTCATTCCAACAGGTCTAAGTCCCTTTTATGGTGGGGACACCAGAACTGGACACAGTATTTGAGGTGGGGTCTCACAAGAGCAGAGCAAAGGGGGAGAATCACCTCCCTTGACCTGCTGGCCACACTCCTGAGTGGAAGGCAGAGTCTCTGAAAACAAAGATGTCCCAAGTTTTTCAGGCTTTGTGAGCTCCAGTTCAGGTGCCCTGCAGGCCCCTGCTGTTTCCTTCAGACACCCTTGGGTGTGACAGCACCACCCATCCCAGGACTCTGCTTCCAAGGGTCAGCTCAGGCACAGAGCTGCCCAGAAAGCAGAGTCACCTCAGGCTGGTGCCATAACACACCCCCTGGACACAAAGTGCTGGAGCATACAGCACTGACACACAAACTACAGTCTGCCTGACATTAGAGGGAGGTCAGAACAAACCCCAACTGTGGGAAAAGTTACCCACCCCACCTGAAGTAACCACACAGAGATAAGCAGAGATTATTGGAAGCATCTCTCTTGCTCTGGGTGCTTTCCACATCTGCTGCCTGCAGGCTACATATCCCCCAGCACATATCCTCAGCACTTCAGCCCTGTCCTTCCTCCTCCTCCTCCTACCTCATGACCACACAACTCACTCTTCTTGGCCAGCCTCACTTTGAAGGCAATCAGCAAGTTCCCCCACGTGCTGCACTCTTCCAGAGAGGCCAAATGAGTGCTCAGCTCAGAACACCAGCTGGAAACCCCCCCAGCCCACCAACAGAGGTGCTCTGGCCACTGCTTAGCACAGGGAGGAGACTCCCTGGTGTACCTACAGTAAGGAAGCTTTCCTGGTGAATACTAGGCCTCATGGGCAGCACCCTACTGCTCCATGGACAAGCAAATACACCCAGGCAACAGCTCCACCTGAAGTAATGGAAATTCTCACCCTCAGCCTGCACTGCCTGCAGCACCTCTGATACTACATGCAGCAGAACTACTCCATGAGCCACACAGCACTCACACACACAAGCCTGAGGCTCCAGCTCACTGTGCACTCAGTAGCCACATCTGCAGCAGTTACACATGCTGAGGAACACTCTCAGTGGAAATCATAAGCCCTGGCCTCACTTTGGCCTGTGACCACTATCAAACGTCCTTAGACAACTCCTGGGACATCTCAGAGACACTCCAGGAGGCAGCCAGCCTGGAGATGTGCTGCTGGTGCACCCACAAGCCTTGCCATCAGCCTACAAGAGTTCGGTAGTCTGGACAAAAATATTACGTACCAGTCTGCTTTGGTGCTAGAGAACACACTGGAACATTTCATTTCCTAGCATGGCTGTGGCTTCAGTGCCTGGGTTTTGTGCAGGCACAGGACTATCAGTGCCTCCACAACAGTGTTACTGCAAGAGCTTGAATTTAGGCAACATCAGGAGACTAGAAACCTCCAGATTCTTGGGCAGGAAGGTATGTGTGTAGGGTGGGAGGCAGAACAGAAAGGTAAGATTAGAAGGCTTGCAGATTAACCACCATTCCCAAAACACTCCAAGGAACTGCAAAACGTGCCTGTGAAGGAGATCCAGAAGCCCCTCTGAACCCACAACGAGCCATACCTGTAAGGATGTTCTTGAAGGCTTCTTCTACATTTGTTGAATCCAGAGCAGAAGTTTCAATAAAAGATAAGTTATTTTTTTCTGAAATAAACAACAATTGGTTCAGTTAGAAACTTTAGTAGCATCTTATTTAGCCTTTACTTTCAGGCTTTCCCTTTTATTTTTAGGCCAAATCAGCCAGGGCACAGCATTTTTTTCCCCCCCCTCTGTTATGCCTGGAACAACTTGGGGCATCATTTATTTGGCTGCCAGTGTCAGCAGTGTCAGTTCTGACCACTGCCTCTCCATGGTGTGAGAACATCTTCCTCACTACAGCCCTTTTTCAGTCAAGCAATGCAATACTATTTTGGACTGCAGATCCCAGCTAGAGCTGAGCAAGAGCACAGGCAGAAGCCTGTTGCCTGCTACAGGGGTCACAATTCTCCTCTGCAACCCCCAAAAGATAAACAGACCTTTGCTTTCCTGATCAGACCCCACCTCCAAATTACAATAAAAGCCCTCATAACACAGTCTGTTTCCTTCTTTCCTCTTACAACACAAAAGATGTATTTTTTTTACTTAAAACAAGATTGTGATTAACACCCAAACATCACACCTAGAACAGTGCTGTGCCATCTGCCCAGAAATAGGCAAATTTCCATCACAGAACTTGAACAGCAACACCTGGACCATCACTAGCTGTTTAAAACAGGCCTTAGTAGGACGTCAGGGGGGAAAAAAATAAGATGTGAAAACAAGTGACCCAAGTGATAATGCACCAAGGTGCCCAACTAACTTGTTCTGCTTCTCTTAGACTTCACCTCTCATGCATGTGAAAATTCATGGAGGTTTTACTACCTACAGGGTACTTGCTTACTAGCAAACATCAGAACATGTTTAAGGAAGCCCTAGTAATATTTCTAGGAGGATTTTAAAGTCTATACATTTAAATTCCACCTCCAAGCTTCACAACCACACACAGGTAAGCAGAACATCCCCAAGCCTATAAGGCCAAAAGAATATCTGACCAGTGCTCTGCCAAGATAAGGGAGAGAGAGAAATAACGCAGTGGCAGCAGCTCTCATAACCCACTTGATTTCTCCCAACTACAGATAATCTCCAGGTCTGATGGTGTCTGCATTTGAATGAAACTAGGTGACACTACGACACACATCAGTGCTCTGGAGAAGAAACTACAGCACTAAGAGAAGCTGCACTGCTCATCTGCAGCTGTCCCCTCCGACAGGCACTCAGCAGAAGCAGGCCTCTAGGAAGGAAGGAAAGACATGTTGTGTTGTGATGTTTTATAGTGATATTGTAGCATTTTCCCTTCTGTTCCCAGCCTTCCTGGAGGAAGTGTTTAATCTTCAGCTATCAGGCAGCTCAAGGACAGTGTCTCAAAAACATGTATTACCACTAGATTTAAAAAAAAACCATAAAACCCAACCACCAACCATCCACACATGCTGCTTAACAAGCCAAGGCATTTTCATTTAAAAAAAAAAGACATCTTAAACACCCTTTTTTTTTTTTAGGCTAAAAAAACCAAACCCTGAGGTGAAAGTTCAGCCCTGGACAACAACATCATGACCCCAGCTCGCCCCAGGGGCTGAGCAGCAGCCCAGGAGCAGCAGCCCAGGAGCAGCACCTGCGAAGGCCCGGGCCTCGTCGGTGGGCACGGCTCTGAGGTGGCGCAGGTCGCTCTTGTTGCCCACCAGCATGATGACGATGTTGTTGTCTGCGTGGTCCCTCAGCTCCTTCAGCCAGCGCTCCACGTTCTCATAGGTGAGGTGCTTGGCAATGTCGTAGACGAGCAGAGCCCCGACGGCGCCGCGGTAGTACCTGAAACCAGCACAGAGTCAGCGAGGCTGGAGAGGGTCATCCAGCCCAACCACCAACCCAACGCCACCGTCAGCACCAAACCACCTCCCCAAGTGCCACAGCCACACAGTTCTCGAGCACCACCTCCTCCCTGGCAGCCTGGGCCAACCCCTCACCACTCTGCCAGGAGAGAAATTC